AGCTGAATCTATTTTGGGATTTTAAAAATTCCTGCCAAAAATCGTAATTCATTGTGAGATATATACATGTATATATATATATGTATACACACACACACACACACACATATATATAAATAAAATATATCTTTATTGATTTCAGAGAAAGGAAGGGAGAGGAAGAGAGAGAGAGAAACATCAATGATGAGTCATTGATCGGCTGCCTCCTGCACGCCTGCTGCTGGGGATCGAGCCCGAAACCCTGGGCATGTGCCCCGACTGGGAATCGAATCAAAATCTCCTGGATCCTAGGCCAATGCTCAGTGGCCAAGCCACACCTGACCAGGCCACTGTGATATATTTTAATGCAGTAGAAAGAAAACCTGTACTTAAAGGCATCACACAGCTGTAACTCGTCATCCGCTCCCGTAAACCAACCCCCACACCCCTCCCCAATATACTTCATCATTATAACATACCTATTTATACCATAATTTCCTGGAATCAAGATAAAGAGTAGATATTCAGACTTGAACTCTCAGCCTTAGCTTTGGCGCCTTCTTTTCTCATGTTGCTGACATCTAGATGACTCTGTTGGGAAACACCAATGTCATGTGCAGATGATTGCTGCCGCCTGGGAGGCAATATTGCAAACTCTAATAGGAATATTTCTTGTCTCATCTCTTAAGTGATATTGTTATGATGGTATGAGTATTGCTACCTGGGAGGTAATATTGTAAACTGTAATAGGAGTATTTCTTGTCTCATCTCTTAAGTAATACTGTTATGATGGTAATTGGTTGTTTTGCCTGATCCCAGGGATCAGGAACCCTTCTAATTCCCAAATAGAAAGATATTTAGCCAATGTAAAAAATAGAATGTGTGATCACAACTCTTTTCCTCTCTTTAAATCATTGGTGGTTTTAATCAGACATGTGAGCTGTGCCTAGAGCTGTGGAATGTTAGAACTGGAAGGGGCCTTAGTCTGACCCCCATTTTAGTGGCACAAAAAGAGGTCCGGAAAGGTGAAGGAACCTGCCTCAGGAGACACAGCTAACTTTTTCTACACCCAGGACTAGGACACACATCTAGATTTCAGTGTTTTCCTCACTCACATCAAAAGTTACATCTTGTCAAATCTCATTAGCTTTAAATTAACTTAAAAAATAGAGCATCGGTAGCTTCTCATGGTATCATTATGCAGTAGGGTGTCTGAAGCACAGCACTATTGACATTGGACAAGACAATTCTTTGTTGTGGGGGCTGCCTGTGCATTGTAGCATGATTGCCGGCATCGCTGACCTCTACCCACTAGATGTCAGCATCACCACCCCCACTCCCTTGGTTGTGACAACCAAAAATGTCTCTAGACATTGTTGAATGAACCATGGGTGGGGAGGAGGGGGGAAGGAGAAGGGAGATGTTATCACTGGTTGTGACACCCTACACCCACCACCTTCCCCACCCCACATATACCTCTAGAATAATTCTTTCATAGCCTAAATCTGACCTAACCTAAGGGCCTCTTTCCAAGAATCTAATACCTGTAACCTGACAGCACAGGGCCTTCCCCAGGTGTTCTAGTTTCTTTGGCAGTAGGAATCTAGTTCACTCCCATCATTGGAATCTAGTTTTTCTGGGTTAGCCGTGGTCATAGGTCCTGTCCTCATCTACCCCATTCATTATTTCAGCATGCATCTGAGTGCCTACTACGTGCTAGATACTGGGCACTGGGCACACAGTCTCTGATCTTCAGTAGTCCAGTCTTTTGGGGGAGACAAATATGTAAATGAACACTTGTCAGCCTTATAATGAGTGTTAAGAGAGAGGTGTATGCAGGGTGCTGCACAATTGGGGAATATAATTCATTCACACTGAAGGTGGTCATAGGGTGGTGTGTCAGAGAAGGTGGCTGAAGGTGCCCGCTAAGCCATATCTTCAAGGACAAATCAGAATGAGCTAGGTAGAGAAAGGAAAAGGCTTGCAGATAGAGGGAGTAGTGCATCACAAAGCCAGGAGGGAGAAAACCCAGCTTCTGGCTATGGTATTAGCATAGGGTGAGAAATGAAGCTGGAGAGTAAGGCAGGGGCCAGGTCTTGAGGAGCCAATTATATCACATGCCAAGAAGTCTAGAATTGGTTTTTTAAAATTTATTTTTAAAATATATCTTTGTTGATCAAAGGGAGAGGGGGAGAGAGAGAGAGATAGAAGCATCAATGATGAGAGGGTCGTCATCAATTGGCTGCCTCCTGCACGNAAGGGAGAGGGGGAGAGAGAGAGAGATAGAAGCATCAATGATGAGAGGGTTGTCATCAATTGGCTGCCTCCTGCACGACCCCAACTGGGGATCGAGCCCACAACCTGGGCATGTGCCCTGACCAGGAATTGAACCCAGATCTCCTGGATCCTAAGTCGATGCTCAACCGCTGAGCCAAGCCCGGCCACGCTAGAATTGGCCTTGAAGGTAACTAGAAGCCAGGGGAGAGTGCATCAAACTTGCAATTTAGAAAGATATGAAGTACAGAAAATGACAAATGTGGGAGATTCCAAGTAGGAGCACAGGACACCTCAAGAAAAACATCTGATGTACTGTCTAGTGAAAGAAAGAACAGTCGTGTGATTTCACTCTTGCAAATCCCAAAGTGGGAGGGATTCCTGTCCTAGAAGCATTGCCACAAACTGTACAGAGGGACAGCCCCCTCCTCCACCCAGGAATGTGGGCAGAGGAAACCTTTCACTGCCAAGGCAGGAAGAAAATCTTTCTCCTCTGGAACCTAAGACTTCACGGAGAGGCTGATTTCCCGATGGAAGTTCAAAATACTACATTTTTTCCCAGAAAGAAAAATGATAAATCTTGCTATTTTTAAAGATATCATTCAGCAAATTTATGGGTCAAAGGTGTCTTGCATGTGTGTGTATTTGCACACTGGCTGTTGAACATATCACTGTGTCTATGGGAATATGAATTTCAGATCGACTTTCAGAACACAATCCATGTGCAGCCGTGAACTGTGCATCCTATGCAGGGAATGTACAAGCACAAATGACAGCAGTAAAATGCACCAGACAAGTCGTGATTAGAACTCTTCCATCAAGAAGGGAATCTGGGGCAATTTAAGAGCCGTGCTGCTGATCACAGAAAATGCAAATTGCAGGGAGCTCTAGGTTGTTGTTTAGGCCCTGCCTGGGCTAAGGGAGTCTACATGCTGTCCTAGGGCCTGCCACCTAGCAGGAGCTCCACCAATGTTTGGAAAAGTCAAGTAGATGCACTGCAGTGGATCTCCATACCCACATGCCTCCTGGTTAAATGAAACTTAGAAAAAAAAAATGCTGGTTCATTGAGGCACTGAGATAGGGCGAGCAAGAAAGCAAGAAGAGACAGGCAGCATGGATTTGCCCTGGACAGTGAAGTGAGCTAGTGAGTTGCTGTATCTGTGCTCATGGGACAGAAACCCCTTCCTTTTGGGAGCAGAAGCTGATAGGCACATGAGGCGACTTTGATTAATTCACAATCATGTCAATAGAGGGGATCAATTTAAGTAAGTTAATGTGAGTTTCACGGACCTGTTACGTATTTGCTTTAAGAGCTGATTTGTAGCTAAAACATGGCGGCCTTCTTTACTCTGACTCACTCATTACCCAGAAGGCCCTAGCTTCCTAGAATTCTTCATAAAATCTCAATTGTTTTCATTAGCTGTCATCAAATCTAACTGAATCTTCTCTCAAAGGACCTCATTTTGTGTTTCACTATGGACCTGACCTATCTCTTTCTTGCCTCTCCCAGTTTCAACACACCTTGATAGCAGAGGGCAAATGTACCTTCTTAAAACAATGCTTTGGTTAAGCTCCTCCTCTTTTCAAAAACCCTCTCACTTCTCAGGTACCTGCAGAATAAAGTCCAAGCCTCTGGCCTGCCTTTAAGGCCCTGCAGAGTCCTCACCTATAAATTCCAACCGCCCCACACCACTTTTGTACACCAAGCAATATGATATCCTTAGTGTTTCCTGAATAGATTGTCTTCATTCCTCCACTGTGCTTGGCTCATTCCTCAGAAACCTGAAATCCTCAGTTCTTCCGTCTCTACCTTAAAAGCACATTTCTGAGTCTGGTCCCCACTCACTGAAGTAGAAGTCTGAGATCATTTCAACTCACACCCCCTCACTCCTCTCCATTCCTTGCATGGAATTATTCTATGCACCTCTGTCCTCCATCAGCAATAGGGACGAATGGATGAATGACCCAAGGCCCTAGAAAGGTGCCTGGCACATCTTAGAAGCACAACAAATATCTGTTAATTTTGTTGAAGAAATTCAACAGACCGAATATTTGAAATTGTTAATTTAAGATTACCACCCACTTTCCCCCTTAGGCCAGGCACTTTCTTCCCCCTATGTGAGAAAAAGCATATAAATATTTTAAATTTGATAAAGTTAGGTTTGATATATAAAAAGCAGAACTTCCTCTTTAACCAAAGAAATAAGAACTCCCCCCCTCCCAACACTGAATTTCAGGTTACTTTAAAATAACCGACCTGGATTATTTCTTACTAAATAAAATGTTGCACCTTCTCTGCAGTTGCAAAGGTAGCCTTACCTCTAGCCAGCCAAGTCACCAACAGATTCTTCATGTGAGAAAAATGTTTTAAAAAATGGAGGTGTGAGTGTTAAACACCCACAGGCAGGAACAGAACAACAGGTGCTCTGTGCAAACACTAAACTCCCAAACCGACCTTCTGAGCGAGCCAAAAGCTTTTATCCAACATAATGTTCTTCAGCTGTTGTTTCAGGGGCTTTTCGATAACAAAATCCCCCCTCCCTTTGGCCTTTACGTTTTTCACCAACCACTTACTACCGAGTGCGTACCTGACTTATCTGGGCGCAATCTTTGTCGCACCCAGTCAACTCGCTCAGCGACCAGCGCAACCACGTTTCCTTAAATCAGAGCCGGGTGGACTCTGCTCCTGAACTACATTACCCAGCGGAACCCGCGCCCTTCGCAGGAAGGACGTCTGCGCACAAGATACTCAGTTCCAAGTTTGGAGGTTTTAGCTGCCAGCCCTGGCCCATCATGTAGCTGCAGCACAGCCTTCCCTAACGTTGCAACTGGGGGAAAAATCACTTTCCAGTCTGTTTTGCAAGGTGTGCATTTCCATCTTGATTCCCTGAAAGTCCATCTGCTGCATCGGTCAAGAGAAACTCCACTTGCATGAAGATTGCACGCCTGCAGCTTGCATCTTTGTTGCAAAACTAGCTACAGAAGAGAAGCAAGGCAAAGTCTTTTGTGCTCCCCTCCCCCATCAAAGGAAAGGGGAAAATGTCTCAGTCGAAAGGTAAGAGGCTATTTGCATTAATTGCAAAAATGCAAAGGGTTGTGCATGCATTTATGAATGCATGGATGCAATTTTCGCCTAGCGATTGCATGTTTAAGTTTGAGGTTTTCCACAGCTCAGTTGCATTTCCTGTTTAGTATGTGTCTTTTTTTGCAGACACAGAGAGTTCCTGTAAGGCAGGGCTTGCAGTTCAGCTGTGCATTGACGTTATTTGCATTCTTCTGCTAGGATTACTGAGCTCTTTTTGCCTTTTGCACAGTCAGGAGAGATAGAGCAGGTTGGTAGCGTCTAAACGTGCAAGGCTTTATATAATTATAAAATTCTTTGGTATGCACGCATATTATAAGTAATTTTCTGTGCAACAGAAATACAAACTTTTAAAAAGTCTGTGGTTGAAGATGAAAGGTAAAACTTGAGTTAAACTAGTAGGAAATTAATGTAATCTTATATTCCTTTGGGAATGAGCCGTTGCTGTGCCAGTATTTAGCTAAATTTCCATTGATACGCTTTGAACATTAAGCAACTTTTGATTTTTAAAGGAAGTAAAGGTGAAGTGTGCATAATAGCATATTACAAAAAAAAAAAAAAACAGACAAGAAGTCTTTCTCTTCCGAGATTTTGCACTTTACACTAATTGCTTATTGGCTCACAGTATTTAGAAACAGCGATGATGTTTTATGCCTTCCCATTTGGGAGATGCGTTGCATCTCGGTGGGGAAAATACTGGGCGAAAGCTGTACTTTGAAGCATTACACCAGCGTGGAGGGACTGTCCTGTTTCATTAACAACCATAATGAAATCTTTTAAGTGTAATTGCATAAATTTAGTCAGCTATAATAAGTCAGACGTTCAGGGTTATGGGTTTTTTTAAATGTTTTTTTCTTTTTCTAATTTTTTTTTTTTTTTTACACAGTTGTATTTTGGAGGCTTAATGTCATGCTGGGGAGGGGATTAAAAAAATAAAATTCCTGACATCAGAGAGCTGAGGGGTTGCTGTCAGGTGCACTAGGACCCTAAGTCACTTGTTTTGGAAGAAATCCTTTACCATAGAGAAAGCATATGCCATGTGAGAATGTATGCATTGAAGAAGTGAGTTAAGCACCAGGTGAGTTAGGCTACTTGGGACACTATGTAAGTAAGTATGCAGTGTAAATAATGCAGGGTAAGATCTGGTGAAATTAAAGTGTCTCATAAGCTTTCTGCCACGTTTTTTGGGAGTAGTTGCACCACTTTTTAATTCTGCTGGATAGAAATCATACATGTTAGCCCAAGAAGAAAGTGATATGTATTCTCAAAAGTTTGAGGTAGGGCTCTGCTTTTCTTTGAGTATTAGGGGAGGGTGAAAATACAAAAAGCTGAGAGCTGAAGAACCTAAGAATTGGCATTATGAGGTGCAGAGGTTCCTTAATATAGGGGAAATTTACAATCTCTTAATCAAGCAGAGAAGTAACAGATTAGAGGGGGCATTCCATGCTTTGATGTACTAAAGAGATGGCATCTAGTTAGTTTGTATTTGATATATATTCACTCATTCAGTTCAGTTTAATATCTGTATAAATATATTATGACATATATGTGTATGTCTCTGTGTGAATAATTATAATTATTATAATATAATATAATATAATATAATATAATAAATATAATATATAATATAAATCCCCTCAACTGAGCAGGATTTGGGTGCAAACAAAAACATTTAAAATGTAGTCATTTGCATCAAGAAACTTACCAGTGGTTCATAAAAGAAAGCAGGTATTGCTGAAAGAAAGCAAGTCATTATAATACAAGATAATTGCATAGATAGCAAAGAGAAAATGGACAAAGTTGGAGTTTAAAGATAAAAGTGATCTCTCTGGGAGATAGTCAAGAAGGTTTCAAACGAGGGAGGTGGTGTTAGTCACAATCTTATCTTAGGATCTTAGGGTCTAAACTAAATCAGGTTCCTATTTGCATTTTTTGGGCCCACTCCTAAGGTATAGTTCCCTCCTTAGTAGAGCAGGTTTTTGAGTTGGGAAGCTAAACGAGATATTAGCATGGTATGCTTCCATTATGGGTATGCCCGTAATAAATCAGGTAGTTTTCTTAATTGGGTCCCCTTTGGAAGGTGCATCTGGTGTGAATATGGGGTTCCTGCCCAAAAGGATGAAATGATTGATAGAAAGGAATATCTGATCATTTCAGAAATGGCAAAGGAGCCTTGGCATGGACTTGAAACGTGAAACTGGCCTAATTCAGCTACAGTATTCTCAAATGGCCAAGACATTTATTTATTTTTTTTGCAGTACCAAACTTCTTTGTAATACTAGAACCAAATGAAATGGGAGGAAAAGTGAAAGGTGGATACAACCTCTTAGCCCTGAAGAATTTAACAACATGTTGAATTCAAGGACCTTTCCGAACCTTCTAGATCACTATAATTCGGTTTTACAGACCTCTAATTTAAGGCACAGCACAGGCAAAAGAATTACAGACTCCCTGGGTTGCTTCTCTTCAGCCTTACCAACAGTGAGATTCCGAGAAAGAATTTCTTAAAAAGAAATTTTGTTTTCCACTGTTGTAACTTTAGGTGGTATGCTTTTCAGCTTGTTTATATTAGCTGTCTGGGGTTGAGCTGGCATTTGTCAGATATTAAAGTGGTAGAATGCCTTTTGAGGAAATCTGAAATGTAAGTTAACAGGAAGGGCACCCAGAAAGTGCAGGAATTCCTGCACTTTACAGGAAGACAGGCTACAGGAAAAATGTGTCATCTACATTACCCGGGAGAGAAAAACTGTTGTTATCAGCTCTAATGATCAGAGGGAGGGTGGGAGGAGGGGAGGGTGGTGTGGTGGTCAGGCATCTCCTGGTTCACCTGAAAATAGACAAAAAGTTTGCCCCTGTTCAAATGCACTCTCCCTCACTCCTCCCTCCATCTGCCTTTTAAAATTATTAGTTTATCTTAGTTTATGATAGTAAATATTAGATATTCACCTTTTAAAATAATTTTAAAATAAATAAAGTTCACCTTTTAAAAAATATAGTAATAGGTCAGTCGTGACCTGAGAAACGCGTGTAAGGCATAATCCAGAAGCACGTGGGAGAGTAATAGGCGTGGATTTAACCCTAAGTGGGTTCTTTGCTTTTGTAATTCCTTTCGCCCTGGGAAATGAGATGTGTGAATTTCTCATTCCGTGTAAATGCCTTTGTTAGGTTGTACCCGCGGACTTGTCATGCTTCGCCTGTAATCTGAGCCGGTATGTTTTATAACCTCATCTATCTCAGGACACACAATCAGAATAGGTGCCTGGGGTTTCCTGAGCTTGTTTTGTATTGGTGTGGTGCTCAGCCCTTTCCAGCAAGCTGCAGGTCAGCTGCAGGAGCTCGCAGGGGGTCTCTGGTGCTCAATGTAATGCTGGGGGAAATGGTTAAGATTCTCATCCTTTGTTTTTCTCAGATTAGTTTTATTGTTACCACTTTTCGGTGTTTTAAAATCTGGAAGATCTATAAGGAATATTTTTAAAACTTAAAAAATGCACAAATAATACTTGTTCATTATAGAAATATTCGAAAATATAGGAAAGGAAAATAAGAATCACCAGTTATGGCAGTGTACATTTTGGCCTATATCCTGGACTTTTTTTCTATATGTATATGAATGAATCCAAAGTATGTATAAAATTAATGTATATTTAGTTACCTTTGTTTTAGTTTACTTCTCAATATACTGTGAAGTATTTCCAAGTTAATCTGTTTCAACATTCATAATATCCAATTCTATTGTATTTATTTAAATAGAACTTTAGTGTTTATGAACTTATTAAAAATAGAGGTATAATTAACATACAGAATTATATTAGATTCAAGGTTTACAACATGATTCGATATTTATATATATTGTGAAATGACCACAAGTCTAGTTAACGTCTAGCGCCATATATTAGTTACAGATTTTTTTGTGTGTAATGAGAACTTTTAAGATTTACTTTCTTAGCAACTTTCTTATATGCAATACAGTATTATTAACTATAGTCACTATGCTGTACATTCCACCCCCATGACTTATTTATGTCATAACTGCAAGTGTGTATCTTTTGACCACTTTCACCCAATTTGCCCTCCCCGACCTATGGCAACCACCAATCTGTTCTGTGCATCTATGAGCTTGATTTTTTTTGCTTTTTAGATTTCACATGTGAGTGAGATCATATTTGTCTTTCTCTGTCTAACTTATTTCACTTAGCCTAGTACCCTCAAGTTCTATCCATGTTCTTGCAAATGGCAAGATTTTATTCTTTTTTATGGCTGAATAATATTCCATTGTGTATATATATCACATATTTTTATCCATTCATCTGTCGAAGGGCACTTTGATTGTTTGCATATCTTGGCTTTTGTAAATAATGCTGCAATGAACATGGAGATGCTATTAACTTTCAGCATTATGAGTATTACCGTGATGATGTTATTGTGCATAGTATGCCTTTAGGCTAAATTGCTGTGGTTATCCAATTCTTCCCCCTCTCCATTTTCTTCTCCATCTTAAATAGCTTTTGAAGTTATTGTAAAATGATATATTCTTGCTTAAAATAAATTCAAACCAAAGAGAAATTCATAATAAGACAATAAGAATCACTCAGTCACATCACCCAGAGCTAATTACTGTTAACGTTTTGGTGACTGTCTCTTGCATTTGCACATACGTACAAATATACATACATACGTATGGAAGCTCTTTTACACACTATATATGACATTTTGCAACTTGCTTTATACTCTACCATGTATCCTGGACATCTTTACATATTTGTACACATATAGTTACCTCATTCTTTTTAACAGTTGCTTATTTTAACTTGTAAAAATGTAGTCATTGAATCAATCTCCATTTGGATTTTCACATAGTTTCAATTTTTTTTTTTTTTTTACAGCTGTAAACAAAATTGCAAAGAGTGCCTTGAACAAGTATCTTTGCACATTTGCCCTATTATCTCTTTAAGATGCTTTCCTAGAAGTGGAAG